GGCAGGACGAGCTTCTCCTATGATATTTCGAGTTTAGAATCATATATGTGTCTTTAATTTTGTGGACAAAATTTTAAAAATGTGGGATGAATGTAAGAACCCGAACCGTTGAATTGGAATTTTAAAAATTCAATAATAAATAATGATTTTAGGAAATTATTCCGTAAATCAAAGAGGATGATTAGGGAGAATTTCTAATTATTTAAATCAAATCACTTTTCGAGGAAAAGTGTAAATGCAATGTATTTCACAGTAAAAAGGTGTACCGACGAGATTACTCGGAAACATAAAAGAAAGCAATTGGGATTTTAAGAATTATTTAATAATTAAACATTTAATTTTTAATAATTAGAAGAAAATTCTAACTATTTAAATTATGTCACCTTTCGGTTAAAAATGTATATACAGCGTATTTCGCGAAAACAGCGTATTTCGTGAAAACTACGGTGGGTAAGATTACCAGAAACTTAAGAAATAATTAACAAGCATTATTCAATAAACCTTATGAAGTTAAAATGAAAACAAAATTTTTATCATAATATTGATAGGAAAATATAATTATTTAAAATTAAATCACTTTATGTGAAAAGTGATAATACTACGGGTTTCGCGGCAAAAATTGCAATAGGCAAAATTACTGAAGAGCATAAGAAATAATTATTGAGTATTACTACATAAATTTTATAAAGTTAGAATGGAAATAAATAAAATGCTTAAGTTAAGTTAGAAGAGTGTCGAAAATTGGGGAAAATAAGAGTGTAGTAAGTGGGCATTCACTTATATGACCTAGACCTGCACTCCTTACTTTTTATTTCATTTCTTCACTTTAGCAAACCTTAAGACATAAGCCCCAAACCCTCTCATGGTAGAAAACTCTTCTTCTCTCTAGGGTTTCACCTTCTTCACTTGGAACAAGCCACCAACCCTTCTACCTTCATCAAACACCATGGAAACAACCTAGAAGCTAGGGTTTTTGAGAGAATAACGTCATCTTAAAGCATTTTTGTTTCTGCTTGTAAGCTTAAAGTTGGGGTCTTTCCATTGTTAAAGGTGTGGATCATCTTGTTCTTCTTGTGTGAGGCTTCAAAGGTGAAAAAGCTTAACCTTTCCTTTGTTTTTCATGATGGATAGTGTGATTTAGGTTAAAGTTTGAATCTTGAAGTTGTTTAGGAGTTTAAAATATGTTGGTATGCTGATTAAATAATTAAAGAAGTTTTGGAGATCATTGGAGGCCAATGACACCTTAAAAATCCAATTTTTTTTGCATTCTGTTGAAGATTTAATCGATTAACCCCATGTTTAATCGATTAAATCCCGACAACATGGTTAATCGATTACAACAAACCTAGTTTAGTAAAATTAAGATATATCGAGCTATAAAGCTCCAAATTAAGTAATGTATAGAGCTATGTGAAGCTAACACATAGGGATATAATCCTGTAAAATTTCATAGTCATTTGATAAGTGTATTGATTTTAGTTTAAGTTTGAAGTTGCGACTTGGTTGCTGAAAATTCAGTTTCTAGTAGTCACTTTGCGAAAAACATAACTTGAGTTATATAACTCCAAATCAGACATATAATATGTCGTTGGAAAGCTTGAGATGTCTAGTTTAACATATTAAAATCTTATAATTTCTATTAAAGAGTTGGAATTCCATTTCTAAAAATGGTAAACAAGGTTTGTTGTCGTATTCACAATTAGAGTAGTTTCTTTGGAATGAATTGAAGGAAACAACTTGTAAACACTATTATGCTAGCGAGTGAGGTTCTAAAAGTTATGTGACCCTTGGGAGTTGATCTAATTCTCCTTACCTTGAGTTGGTGTCCTTATCCAAAGAATAACTACGCAAAAGACAATATTAAAATAAATGTTGTGAACTAGTATAGTTGCTAATTGTCTTTATATCTTGAAATAGGTTGTGATTTATTGAGGGCCTATGATTGTGGTCATTTGGATACTGAGAGTACTTCAGAGTGTATTGCCTTAACAGGTAAACTTTCGGTCCTCAGATTGATCTATTGTATATTCCACCAAACTCCATGGAAGGTTGGTTTATGTGCTTGGTATGTGTTTTGAAAATGATATCTGTTATATTATGAGCATTGGATATTTGACTGAGGTGAAAGTTATTTGGTTCAATTGCTATATGTATATGCATGTGGGGCTACCACACCGAGTGATAATCCTTGATGTTTGGCAGAGGCCATACAAGGTGGTAAACCCACGTATGGGGGTATAAGGAGAGCCACTTATACTCTGCATAGGTTGCAGGCATGCATAAAGCCTACTTTGTTCTCTGATCAGTAGGATATTTTCATACACACATGACATGAACATATACTGCATTGCACATATATATTTATTTACTGCTCAGGTTATTTTTGAACTTATATTATACCAATAAGTGAGCTTGGGGTGGAGGAATCCTTGAGGACTCCTTGTCTTACTGAGATTTGTCAAAATCTCACCCCGTGTGAGGTACATTTTTTAGGTACAGATATCTATAAGACGGATGCCTCTCCAGGCACGAGGCTGGCGTAGAGATTTAGCTTGACATGCATTGTTTTTATTAGATGTTTCCTTATTTACATGAGCCATGCTTACCATTGATCATATTATTTATGTTTTATTTGTCATGAGCATAGGAGTTGTCTATTCCACTATATATATAGAGTTTTTTAACTCTTGTTGGAAGATATGTGTAAGCTTATGTCTTGTGAATAATTATATTACTTTAGCCATTTATGTTGTGACATATGAACAATGTTTTATAAAATTAATATTTAAAGTCTTGAAAGGACTCAAGTCATGTATGATTTATAAATGAAGGTCCATTAGGTATTGTATGGAATCTATGCAGATTATGGACAAGTTATCTAGAAAGCACATGTTAAAATTTATAAGGAGTTAACCATGAAAGAAATTAGTAAAGATGTATGAAATTAAACGACTTAGTTAAAGGATTTCTAAGAACTACAAGCTAAGTTAAGTAATAATGTAACTTTGGTAATTGGACATCAAATAAAATATGGGCTAGGAGGTGATGCCTAGAATCATACTAAGTGGACGACTTAAACTATTAGTGGCTAAAAAACATGTCACCGAATAATTATTAAATTAAATATGTAAATGGAAATGTAAAATGGAAATAAAAAATTTATTCATCTTTTCGTGATATTAATTATAAATTAATGAGATTAGCTTTCGTATTTATTTGATTAATTAGTTGCGCTTAATACCATTCTGATGTTACAAACCAGGTGCAAACTGGATGTTACACTAATCATCTGGATTTGCTCAGTGGTATCTTGAACAAAATCCAACCCGAATAACTCTTGATCTCCAACATCAGTTCAGCATGTGGGAGTTCAACATCTCTTACCATATAATGCCTCGTAAGGAGCCATGCCTAGGCTAGCATTAAAATTGTTATTGTATAAAAACTCAACTAGTGGAAGGTACCAATCTCATGTCGAGCCTTGCTCCAAGGTGCAAGCTCTCAACATGTCCTCTAATGTCTGAATGGTCCTTTCTGTAGTGCATCTCAAAACTGAGTTGTGAACTTATGGTCCCGATCAATGTCCGGATATCTTCGAGTGCATATTCTAATATCATATCCAGATATTAATATCTGAATATCATATCCGAATATTTCGCGACGGAAGTGCAGTTTTGCCTTCTACACGAAGATATCCATCAAGGTTCCATTTTTACCACCAACAGAGGTCCAAGCTTGCGTTTTTAGGAATATTCTTGTTAATAGTCACCTAGGTTATCATGTTTACTCATTTTACATATCCAAGACACAATCTTTTTCCTAGAAACTCAAGATGAAAGGTTGAGACATGTACCCAAAGCTTCAAAAACAGAAAAAAGAAGAGTCTTCAAGGCTTCTAGTCCATACCCAACCTCTGTCCAACCATGAACACGAAAACCCCTTAGTATATGTTGGTTCTTTCTTCCTAAAGGTGGTTCCTTAGTGCTCTAATTAGTGAAAATATCTCCACTCCACACAACAAAGAATGGCAGCCCTCAACTCCCACAAAACAGAAACTAAAACACTCCAAGAATGGGTTTTTTTTCATAAGACCTAAGCTTTCAAGTGTTTAAAGTCATCCAAGGGAAGAAGGGTGAGGAAAGTTGGTGTCTTTGATGATTTTCATGGAAGAAAGCTCAAGTTTACTTGGAGAGGAAGAAAAGAGAAACCTAAGTGTTAGAGAGTGTGTGCTACGTAGGTTATGTGAAGAATGAGAGGAAATTAAGGGGTTTTAGTCATTTTAGTCTGTCACTTAAACTACCGGTATTTGTTTTGAAATCTCTAACACTCATCTTTTCTTTTAAACTTTGTATTACTGACTTAATATATCAATTTTCCTCAATTTCTTTTATATTTCAGGTCGTTTCGCCGATACACCTTTTTATCGCGAAATGCATAATATTTACACTTTTCTTCCGAAAAGTGATTTAATTCATAATTATTATTTTCTTATAATTATCCTATTTCAATTATGAAATAATTTCCCTAAAGTCATAATTTATTATTATTAATTACTAAAATTCTAACTTAACAGTGCGGGTTCTTACAAATAAGGTTTCCCTAATTAATGACAAACAAATTAGAAATAGAAGGTTCAAGATCTATTTGACAAGCAAAAATAAACATATGAAGCAAGCCATCAGAATTGGACTAATAGTAAAATGAGTTCATAGATTCAGTATTGCATTAAAAAAAAACTATGAAGAAATTTTCCACCATGTCCATGTTAAACAATAGGCGTAATCAACATTGTAAATAACATGAAATCTCAGCAATACCAATAAATAAATAGTTATATTTTTCAATACTCAACAATTTATGAGTCACTCCTCAAGTATAACAAGAAGACAAAGAAAAACTGAAAAAAAAAAAAAAAAAAAAAAAAAATAATCAATGTGCTCTACTGACTATCGCCACCAACACAATATGACAAGTGTAATAAGTCCCTAACTTAACGCTGATTAAATATGTGCAATAATTGACAAGGCTGAGATCATTATGAAACCCTGAGTCACAAGCATCAACTTGGTCGCTGAGTTTTGATCTGAGTTAGAGGAACCAGGGGAATCTGAAACAACAAATCCGAATATAATTTATTACAACAGAAATTCCCTTGCTGATATAATAAAAATAAAAAATAAAAAAATAAAGAAGCCAGTCTACAAAAAATGAAAAATGCGCAATATATAAAGTAATAGAAAGAAAGCATACTTGTGAGGCAGGACAATGGATTCACATGCTGGCCACATCTACCGGGCAAATTCTGAGCCTCATTGATATTAACACCTGCCTCCTCAGCTTGCCTTGTGCCTTTGTTGCTTACCAAGCTACATAGGCATTTTGAGTCTGATTCAATCACTGATTTCAATGGATCACAGCAGCTATCAGGTACGTCTTGGGTGCCATTAAGGTAGCGTAAACAAGGTGCAAGCTTGTTTAGGCAAGTGCTATCTTGAGCTCTTCCTCTTGAAATCCATGTTACCAGCACAAGAAATACGATATAGCTAAGTGCCCTCAACTTGGTTTCCATTTTTGTTACCAACGGTATTAATCTATGTCCTTAGGGTCATTATATATATGTAGCATATATAGGAGAGAAGGGTAACAATTAACTAGAGAGGGAAAGAAGTGATTTGAAAAATGATGGTAAAGAGTAGGTGATCAAATTATAGCCAATTAGTCGACCCTTTTAAATCTTTGTTGACGATGTTGTGGCTGCAGTTTTTAGGAAGATGTCACGGTCATGGTGACCGCTGGACAGGTTAAGCTACTTTCATTTTCAAAGTCAAATTAATGTTTCATGCTTTGGACAATTCTAAAACCGGAGGCACACTTTTAAAAAATTAAAAATTAAAAATAAAGTGTAAATTACAATGGTTAATTGAAAAATTAAGACATAATTTTATAATTTATTGTGACACCCAAGTTATGTTACACTCATGTGACACCCAGTCAATCTCACCGTTAGATCGCTTATGTTGATCCAACGGTTATATTTATTTCCATCTTTGTATGGTCATGATTTCCCAAATTTAATATTTTATATTTATTTCTACCTTTGTATGGTTATGATTTCTCATATTTAATGCTTTCACTTTAAATTTGGGAAATCATGACCATACAAAGATGGAAATAAATATAACCGTTGGATCAACATAAGCGATCTAACGGTGAGATTGACTGGGTGTCACATGGGTGTAACATAACTTGGGTGTCACAATATCCTATCCCTTATTATATATATGTACATATATTTTATTATAATTTAAATGATTAACTTTTTTTATCAATACTTGTAATTTCGTACTTTATCATTTAGAATACGTACATATCACAAGAAAGAGAGAGAGAAAATCATACTCTCATGTTGTATTAGATTCATCTCTCATGTTTACACTCAAATAAAAAGACCTACCTCTCTTTTAAAAAAAAAAAAAAAATGGTGGACCCCACTTTGTTTGTCTCACAACATAAGATAATTTATCTCTTATTACGTGAGAAAAGTAAAGTCTTATATATATATATATATATATATATATATATATATATATATATATATATATATATATATAGATCATTTGACTCCAGAGTAAGACTTATTAGTCTTGCTCCTCATCCTAATCGTTGATTTACGTACATCCAACGGTTATAGTTTAGGAAGTTATATTAATTAATTAATTATTAATTAAACTATAAATGACAACCGTTGATTTTTGTCCATCAACGGCTGAGATGGGGAGTAAGACTTAAAAGTCTTACTCTCGAGTCAAAAGAACCCTCCCATATATATATGGAAAAAAAAATTGGGTTCTAATCACTGGATATAAGCTTTTGTCTAGTCACTGCATTATAACTATATACTCCAAAGAATACATAGTTATAATATTAAAGTTATACTTTTTTACCCAATGGGTGCAGCTCAGTTGGTAACTTGGCGCTGAGTTAATGGGGTTGGATATGTGTTCGATTCCCGCTGAATGCATTCTTGGGGAGGGGGCTGAACCTTTAGCCATCGCTGTTCCCCCGCACTCTGGATTAGTCCCATAGCCGGCTCAAAGAGTCGAAGCTCATGGGGATACCGGAGGGAGCCAACTCGTCTCAAAGAGATAATTAGGGTTGGGTAACTCCAAAAAAAAGAAAGTTATACTTTTTTCTCTCTCTTCATAAAGTTGCCTACTAACATGAAAAGTGAAAAAATAAACTTTAATATTATAACTATGTATTCCCGGAATACATAATTATAATGTGGTGACTGGACAAAACCTTATATATTGTGACTAGACAAAACCTTATATACTGTGAGTGGACAACAGATGGACCTTATATATATATATATATATATATATATATATATATATATATATATATATATGTAGGATCCTTTGACACCGGTGTTAAATTTTAATTTTGACACCGGTGTCAAATTTTAAATTTGACACCTCATCTCAGAGCCGTTAGATCATAGAGGATCAATGGTATCACATGCTTATAAGCATGTGACACCATTGATCTTTTTTTATCTAACGGCTATAAGATGAGGTGTCAAATTTGAAATTTGTCACCGGTGTCAAAGGATCCTACCTCATATATATATATATATATATATATATATATATATATATATATATATATATATGTATGTATGTATGTATATATATAGGTAAAATCATTTCTTCAACCGCTTTACGTACAGCAACGACAAGTGTATGGTTATGATTCCCCACATTTAATGCTTTCATCCTTTGTATGGTTATGATTCCCTGCATTTAATGTTTTCAAGTATATATATGGCAAGTATTTGATTGCTGCACGTACAGCAGCTGCAGAAATGTAAACCCCTATATATATATATATATATATATATATATATATATATATATATATATTGTGATAAAACTAAGAAGAGAGACATGAAGACAAAGAGTAGAAAAGACAAACGGGGTAAAATCCTTATTCTCATTCAGCTCAAATATCCAATATAAACAATGTCAATATATAAGACTACAACTATGAATAAGGGAGTAATACTCCATTAGTATGGTGGTTAAAAAATCATAAATAGGAGATAATTGCATCATTAGTGCCAATGGTAACATGATTTAAGTCATCCATTTTTATAATACTCCACCTTGGATGACTATACACTATGGAAATGCCTCGTTAAAACCTTGCTAAGAAAAATCCAATGGGATAAAAAAATATTAGCGAAAGAAAAAAAGTACAATATTATAGTTAACATACCATATTTCATATATTAGTATAGACTTCCTCGTTCAAAACCTTTCCAAGAAAAACCCAGTGGATAAAAACTTAGGAAAGGAAAAAAGAGTGCAGTGTGTATAACTCCCCCTCAATTGAGCCCTAAAGCTACTCCTGAAGCTACGGAAGTGAAGCTACATTTACAATTTTCCATAATAACTATCATGTAATCTTCTATAATAAATTGCATTAATATTAATTCAACAGGATCAATAGCATCCATTTACAATATTAGTGTTCCTATGATGCTTAAGATTAGGAGCTTCAGGTCCTAATCCTTTCTCGTTAGATTCTTTTGATTTAAATGGATCTGTATTCACTTTTGGTGAATGGATCATCATTGAGGCACTTATATAGTAACATTGGTGTAATAAAATAACCATTTTTGTAGGATGCTCGATCTACAAGTCAAGACAATAATATGTTTGAGACCACCATACAATGATCTTTACAACTCAATGTTAAATGTGTTGCGAATTTTATTCTTTCCATATAGGGTATGGAGAATTCGTCAAGGATTTTCATATAAATATCATCGCCAAGTGACCCTACAGTCACGACATCCATTAAATGCTTTTCAAGATGCATCCTAGTTGCCATATTGATCAAGTAATGGAACGAAATAGAATTCATTACTGGATAATAATTATAATTATTGTAAGGTCTCTGTGAAAACCCTTGTTATTTCTTAATTGCCTCCTTCAATTCATTCCAGACTGAATGCTTCTAGCATTCTTGAATGGTTTTTGGGTTTTGGATCCAGATTATCTCTTGAGACAGCAACAGCTACTGAGAAGGCAATGATGTTGCCAGCGGCAGATAATATTATCATACTTTCTCCCTTATTAATATGGTTTATTTCATACTTTTATGTCAACATAAACCAAATCTTCATCCTTTCCCTAGACATTCAGATTTGGTAGTTTCATATTCCTCGATTGTTGCAATTAGCATCTGCATTTATTTCATCGGGCTTGCTTTCTTCAGGATTAAACTCTTCAGGAGGCGTGATGAGTAACTTCTTTTTTATTTTCCATGGACTTATGTATTTAGTCCCTGCAGGCTATTCAGGCTTCCGACGTTGACTAAACTCAAACATATCTCATTAAATTCTCCACTACAGGTGGCTCAATCTTTTTAGTCTCTCATTTGTGATCAATAAATATATTTGGGATTTGTCTTGTTAAATTTTGCAAGTTAATGATAATTTGAACTTCAAGTTCAGTTATACTTATACATGGATCAAAATAATTCAAATAATTTCTCAAGATTCATCAAGCTTCTGGCTTTCTCCCCCTAATGTTTGGAAATGTCCTTCATTAAATATTTAATAAACGAATCATGTATTAAACAAATCGCCCATTAGGGGCTCCAAGTACTTGATTCTGTATTGAGTCTCAAAAAACTCACGTAAATGTTAAACCTTCAAATGACATAAGGACATATATAATGCAACCAAAAATGCGCAGATGGAAAATATTAGAATCGCATCCACGTACAAGTTTAAGAAAGAAGTATACTTAAAAGCATATGAGCTAGTGAACTTCAGGTTCATGGTAATTCTTTTAAAAAAAGACATAAACACAAATATTATTTCATATTTTCCCCTCATATTTCCAAAGTTTAATGAGATAAATTTTTTATATTGGGTCCACTTCTAGGGCCACTTTTCAAGAAATATGAAGTCTCTAGTCTATTACTGACCTCTTCAGAGGTGTCACTTTGAAGTTTTTCCTCAAAGAATAAAATTATTTGTGTACTTTAGACTTTTTAATCATAATATTCACATAATGTCCTTCAGGGATAATTAGTCACATAATAATATTTGTAACTGCTTACAATATTCTGCAAATTAATTATGGTTTGAACTTTAAGGTCACAATCATTTGGGCATATAACTAGATGGATAATTGATGTTCACCGGCAAGTATACCGATCGCACAAGTAATATAGATAGTAAGTAAAGTATCGTCTCCACAGGGATTGGGTCGAATATCAATTAATTGTTCCTTTTAAGAATGGAAGAGTTCAAAAGGTTGTGACAAATATTGTCGAATTGTGTGAAATTGAGAACTGAAAATAAAGACTTGTTTTTGTAATTTTTCTGTAATGAAGAATAAAAAATAAGAACAAGAATGATTTGATTTGTAAAAAATGAGAAAAGCATTGTAGCTAGGACACACTCACCATATGATCCCCACTTCTTACTCTGAATTGATTTACAATATTCAATTATATAATTACTCAGATAAATTATTATCTAGAATTAAT